CCCCCCCAGCGCGACAAGCAAGAACCGCGGACCCCCCCCCCCCCCCCCGCCCCATAACAGAGCGCTGGGTGTCATCCAAAACACCGACTTTTTTGTATCTTTATTTCTGGGGCAGTGACAGCATTTGCTGGACGTGCAGGGAGGTGGCCGGGCACAGCCTGGCATCACCCTGCCGCCCTGTGGCACGGGGATCTGCAGGGACAGCACAGCCGGGGATGAGTGTGGCACAACCCGGCCACGGGGTTGGCGTCCTCTCAGTGGTCTCGCTCCAATGCCGCAGTTCTCCCCGCCGGCACTGCCCACGAGGCTCCCTGGGGCTGTATCCCCATCCCCGCAGGATGCGGCGGGGCTGCCTGCGGCGTGCGGCAGGGGGGATCACCGGTGCCGGGGTCACCACATATGCCGGTAGGGAAAGGCCACCTCCACGCAGAGCACCACCAGCGCCTCGGAACAGTTGTGCCGCTGCCCGGCCAGCAGCCTGCCCTCGCCCAGAGGGGCGGCCAGACCCTCCCCAGGGCCAGAGCTGTGCCAGCCCTGGCAATCCCGCTTGCGGGCTTGGCCGCCCCGCTGCGTGGATCCGTGCCAGGCCAGCTGTCGGGGCCTGCATATGGGGATGGGGGTGAGAGGGGCTGGGGGACACCCTCCGGGACACCTCCGGCTCTTTGCACCAGCTCCTGCATCCATGCAAGCGCCAGGAGTGGGGAGGGGGGGGAACCCACTGCAGCCCCCCTACCCACCCCGGTTCCTGGCATGGGTGCATTTGCTCAGGGATGCCCTGCCGGCGATCACCCTGCGGCTGGACTCACCAGAGGGGATCCGTCAGGACGTTGCGCCCATTGAAGGAGTAGATGGGGCCCCGTAGGGCGGCACCAGCCTGGCCCTCGAAGAGGGAGCTCCAGGACTTGGCCAGCAGCTGGCCCTGTGGGTGCAAGCAGCAGTGCTGAGCCGGAGGCCGGGGCGACGCCCTTGTGGGCAATAACTTGCCATCGGTTCCTCCCAGCTCCCCAAAATGCAAATGCCAAGCACGGCCGGGGTGCAGCAGCCCCAGGGCAGGACCGGGCAAGGATCCCCCCACTGAGGCTCACCAGGGGCCACAGGGCTTTGCCGCCTGCAGCCCCCACGGGGGACGGGGGTACCTGCCTTCATGTTGACGACGGGGAGGGTCCTGTCTGTCCTCTTGACGATGGAGACCAGGTCCTGGATGGGGGCCGACAGGAACGCCCGGAAAGTGCCGTAGAGCCGAGCCTCCTGGGACTGCCGGTAGCACTGCAGGTCGGCACCTCGGATCCCGCTCATGTCGCCAGCGAGGGGAACGTTCAGGGCGGCCAGACGGAGCTGGGGACGGGAGGCAGGGCAGCGAGGAGGCTCAGGCACGGCCAGACATTGAGGTCTCTGCTCCCCCCTTCCTGGGAGGGTGCGAGTCTCCGATGGTGCTGGCCAGGCATGGAGGGGGTCCCCCGGGCACCTCTCCCCGCTTTCCCATGGCTAGGCCACTTGTCTCCCACCCCCGGGGCCGGGCATTGCTTACTGATGGGATCCGCGGTGCGATGGTGGTTGGCAGGATCTGGGGCAGCCCTTGTCCCTCCTCCTTCTGGACCTGGAATAACACAGCTCAGGTCAGCCAAGGGACACCCATGCTCGTGCCACGGGTGCAGCACCCTCCCCAGACCAACACGACCCCAGGCTCTGCGTGTGCCGGGCTGGCACTGCCCTGCCAACAGCCCGTCTCCACGGCACGTCCCTCCCGGCATGGCCGGAGCTGCAGCAGGGCTCACCAGCGAGTCTGTTGGGGCCAGCGCGGGCAGCCCCATGTCAGGACCTCTCGTCTTCACCTGCTTCGCCTCCTGGATGGAAAGGAGACAACAGTCCCGCAAGGGCCTGTCCCCCCCTCCCGGCAGGCAAAGGAGGGCTCTTGTCCCTTGCCGGGAGGTGAGCGGACCCAGCGGCTGCCCGCACCCCTCACCTGGTACCGTGGGGTGGAGGCGGAGGGGTCATCACCGACGAAGAGCGATTCCGAATCCTCCAGCTGCTCAATGCAATGACCAGAGAGAAGGGTTTAGGAGGGAACCGGCTCCTTCCCTGAGCTCTGCTGTTCCAGGGCCAAATCCAGCCCGGTGCCAGCTGCCAGGGCTGGACCCCAGACCCCCCTCCCTGTGAGGGACCCCGAGGGGCGTCCTCGGTGCACGGTACCAGGAGGCGGCTCCAGCCGGTGGGGGTCCGGAGGTAGGCACTGCTCCCTTCCCGCACGTAGACCAGGCTCCCCTCGGGCACGGCGCTGCCCGACTTCAGCATCAACTCCTTGGACCTGAAGACCCACGTCTGGCGCTGGGAGGGATGGAGAGGTTCACGGCCCAGTGGGGGCGCGTGGGGCAGCTGGACAGCCTGGGGGGCTTGCCCACGGCCGCAGTCAGGACGCACCCGGAGATCGGCGTGGGAGTCCGGGGGCTCCGTCTGAGGGATGTCAGCATCTGGAGAGCCCGGAGAGGGTGGGGGGGTCACAAGGTGCCCTGACACAGGGGCTAGATGCTCCCGTGGGAGCCGGGTGGGAGAACCAGCTGTGGTGCCAGGGACCCATGCAGGGTGGCATGGCCCCGGCACCCGGGAAGGGAGGCAAGACTTCACAAAAGGTGTTTCTGCGGAGGCTGGACCCCCCGAAACACCTGAGAAATGCCCTTACCTGCTGCCCAGCCTGCGTCGGCAGCTGCCTGCGAAGGCAAGGGGGGGCCTGTTACTGCCGCCGGGCACAGGGATGCCCTTCCCGGTGCATGGGGAGGGGACAGGGTCTCTCTCGGGGACAGCGAGGCCGTGGCTTACCGGCTGCTTGCAGGGCGGCTGGGGACGGATGGGGTAAATCCTCTGGAAGCAAAGACAGGCAGGTTTGTGGGGAGCCCCCCATGCCGTGCATGCTCACGCGTGTGTGTGCTCTGGCACAGGCATGTGCACAGCCCATGCTGGACCTTACGTTGAGGTAGAGGAGACCTGGTGCTCCGGGGGGGCCGGGGGGGCCAGGTGGGCCAGGGTTCCCGGGGGGACCTCGAGGACCCTGCAGTAGAGCAGTGTGGAGGTTGGACTGGGCTATTTTGGTGCTGCCTTTTGGGAGGGCAGCTGTAAGACACCCCACTGCTGTCCCTCATCCTTCCCGCTCCGTTCCCCTCCTGGGGCTGAACCTCCCCAGGCCAGAGTGGCGTGCAGATGCAAGCCGGGCAGTGTCTCTCACATGGGGTATGATCGCTCCATAAATTTCTGTCTCCTCTTTGCCACCCTGCAAAGAGAAGATTGACACTGATCTCCATCCTCCCCCTCTCCATCCTCCATCCCTCCATCTTCCATCCCTCCATCCCAGCCAGGGCTGTGAGCCCTGCGAAGCTGCTGGTGGGGTCAGCTGTGGTGTGGGGCATGCAGAGCTGGCCTGGGCTTCAGCAGCAGGGTCCCCAAGGCCAGGCTGGGGTCCCTGGGCAACCCTTGTCATAACAGGGCCCCACAAGCCCCGAGGACTCACCGTTTGGTACCCACTGATGGGCACCCAGGAGCCGGACTGGCTGCCAGTGCTGGGGAAAGGGAGGTGGCCTGGTTTGCATCCATGTTCCCCGTAGCAGCACCCCTGGGCGAGCCGCAGAGAGAAGCACGATTAGAGCCTGTGCTGGGTGGTGGGGATGGATATGTGTGCATGCTGTGTGTGTGCACAGCTGTGCACAGGTGTGTGCTGTGTGCATGCATGGGTGCACCGCATGCTTGCATGGGTGTGCACGCTCCATGTGTGCATGAGTGTGTGCATCTGCATGTCCCCCAGGGCATGGGGTGACTCGCTGCCTGCACCCTCCCCCAGTGCCCCAGCCCATTTGGGGACTTCGGCAGTGCCACCGGGGTGAGCCGAAGGCTGGCGCTGCCCTGGCAGAGAGAGGGTGGTGGGGGAGCGGAGGCAGCACATGGGGCTCAGGGGTTCACACTCAGGGTGTGCGGACAGGACACCCCCCCCAGCCAGCTCCCCCCACGCCGCTGCCCGCGGCTACAAACCCGCTCTCCAGGGTCACCCTTTTCTCCCTGGAAGGAAAGCAGAGAGTTCCCATCAGTGTCCCTGCTCCGGGGCTTCCCGAGTACTCCCAGCCCCCTGGCACAGCACCGTGTGTTGCTCCATGGGATAACACCCACCGCGGAGCTGTGTGGTCTGGGCGCCGGCACTGGGGAACGGCCGCAGCCGATGCCGTCCCTGTGCCCCCGCTCCTGCCACCCGTCACCCATGGTGCCCGCTCCCCCGGCTCACCTTGGGGCCCGGTGGCCCAGCCGATCCACGGTGCCCTGCGTGGCGCGAGTCGCACTGGAAGGAGAGGATGTGCCGGGGTGAGTGCAGGGGGCTGCCCCCTGCCCCTGAACATCCGCAGCCCCGGGACCTCCTACTCACCCTGTAGTCCCCCGGTGGCCCCGGTGGCCCCATGGGACCGGGCATGCCTGGGGAGCCCGTCTCTCCAGTCCGGCCAGGGCTCCCCGGCATGCCCGGTAGTCCGCGTTCGCCCTTCTCACCCTGCCGGCACATGGCACACGGGGTGGTGAGCATGGGGGCTCAGCACCCCTTGTCCCCCTGGGCCCCACAGTGGCAGGGCTCTGGCCCCAGGGCCATGGATGGGCTGGGCTGGGAATCCCCCCTTACCTTTAGTCCGGGGAATCCCGGCTCCCCTCGGAGCCCTGGTTTGCCAGGGAGTGATGCAGGTCCTGCGGGACCAGGGGGTCCTTCGTGCCCAGGCACCCCGGGGGGACCCTGTGGCCCTGGGAGCCCTGGTGCCCCCGGGGGTCCGTCTGGCCCAGCCGAGCCTGGAGACCCTGGAGGTCCTTCAGCCCCAGGGAAACCGGGTGGTCCCACAGCCCCCTGCAGACCAGGGGGTCCCGGCTTCCCGTCCCGCCCAGGGACCCCTGGGGGGCCTTCATGGCCTGGGTAGCCTGGGGGTCCGGGCAGGCCAGGCTGCCCAGGGGGACCTGGGGGTCCTGGGTTTCCCACAGGGCTGGACATTCCCAGCTGCTTGTTGGGTTGGAGGGAGAGAGGAAAGAGAGAGCAGAGTCGGTGAATGGCTGCGTCCCATCCCCTGGTCCCCCTCCTCTGGGCTGCCCACTCCCACGGCCACGCACCCCAGCCCTCCCCATCCCTGCCAGTCCAGCTGGGGATGGACACAGGAGCCAGAACCGGCATCGCCCGCCCACCCACCCCGGCATCGCCTCCCTGTGCCCCTCACCCTGGCTCTCACCTCGTTCTCCAATCCCTCGGGGAGGGCAGCGGGCACGGGTGGGCTCCTGGCTCCCCAGGCGCCTGGTGGCCCCGGGGGCCCCGGTGGTCCCGGTGGACCCGGCGGACCCCGGGGGCCCTGGTGACCTGGCTGCCCTGAGCTGCCGGACTTTCCTCTCTCCCCAGGGAATCCAGGCTGGCCTCTCTCTCCCGGGGACCCTGGGTCGCCTTTTTCTCCCTGTCGGGGAAAGACAGAGCCTGGCTCCCAGCTCCCGGCTCCTCATGCTTTCCTCCACCAGTGCCCACTGCGGGAACCTGCTGCCCCCCTGCCAGGGGACACCTGAGTTGCCCCCTCACCCCAGACCCCACAGCGAGAGTCCAAATCCTGAGCAGAAATGGTTTTGCACGGCCAAAACAGACATGGGATTTCTCCCAGTGGGTCACTGTGGGTCCCCGCACCCCTGTGCCTCTCCACGGGGAGGACCACCTCACCTTTGGGCCGGGAGGGCCGGGACGCACGGGGCAGACGCAGCCGGAGCCGTTGTGCATCTGGAGAGGGAGAGAGTGGTGAGCCACGGGATGGCAGCCCCGGCTGCTGGGTCCGGCATGGGTGCCCTGCACCCATCTCTCACCTGGAGAGCAGGGTCCGTTTCCAGGGCTGGGGGCACCTGCCGGGGCAGCCCCTTCGCTGTCGTCTGTGCAGAGGAGGGGCTGAGCGTGAGACCCCCCGAGCACCGTCCCCGTCCCACCCTGCCAGCCCTCCTCCCCCAGAGCCCCTTGCCCAAGTGCCCATCCTGGGCTGCGCCTCGCAGCCCCCGTGGGGACCAGGATCCCTCCACCACCTTGATCTGCAGGAACTCCTCTTCCTCCGTGCTCCCCTCGAAGATCTCTGGGGTGACCATGGGTCGGTGCTGCTAGGACAGACGGAGAGAGCTCAGTGCGGGGCTGGGGGGATCCCGGGGGGCACGCGGGACCCTCCCGCAGCCCAGGGTGGGGGCTGAGCCCCAGCTCTGCCATGGTGCTGTGCCATGCGGGTGGACGCCAGGAGCTGCCACAGCTCCTTTCCAAGGGGGCAGAGGCGGCTGAGCCGTGGCTGGGGGCTGGAGCAGGGCACGCTGCCCTGCCCGGGCTGGTGCGGCTGTGTGGGCAGGACACAGATAAAGGGAAGGACGCGACGAGGGGCCCGGCAGAGGCTGGGGAGTTTTGGGAGGGCTGGGGGAGCAGGGGGGGGGATGCTGCCGGGAAAAGGCACCTGGCCTCGCGTGCGCAGCGGAGCATGGCCCGGACCCTTTGCTGTCCCCCTGGCGAGGGGCTCCCGGCGTCTGGGGGTCATCGCCAGCGGGGGTTTGCTCAGCAGCACCTTCCGCGTGGGCTCCATGCTGCGGGCATCTCCGTCTGCAAGAGCAAAGGGGCAATGGGGTGGGAGGTGGCAGGACTGGAGGGGTACCGGGGTGGCACAGCACTTCCAGTTCCCGGCACTTGCCACGGCCGCAGCGGTGCCACCAGCAGCCCTGGACCCTGGCACCCCACACCTCCTTTCCTCCTCCTTGCTGGGGTGCAGGAGCCGGGGGTGCCAGGGAATCCGTGCTGTCATCCTGCCATGCCTACCTTCCTCCTCATCCAGGGTGGACGCTGTGGGGGCTGTGGGGCTGGTGCTCGGATCCGGTGTGGTGTCCTCCAAGCCCAGGGGGTAAAACCACTGGGCCGTGGTGGGGGGCAGGCGTCCGGCCAGCACCGAGAGGATGCAGAGCACATGGAGGAGGTGCTGGGGGCTTCTGGACTCCATGCCGCTGCCTCGGGGCCAGGCTGCCCAGGACATTGGGGCTTGGCTCATCCTGCTCGCCTGCACCGTCTGCTCCCGCTGCCCCGGCACGGCTCCCACTGTTATCACGGCGGCCTCCGCGCCGCCCGACACGCCTCTCGCCCGCCCCAGCACCCGTGTCCCACGGACCGCATCCGGCGGGGGCTGAGCACCCACGCAGCCATGTCACCCTCTGCCCTGCGGCCCGGGGCAAGGAGGGCAGCCGGGAATCGTAGGGAAGGGAGCCAGGGCCAGGAGGAGCTGCTGGAAGTGAGGCAAGGGAGGGCCAGGGAGGAGATGCTGCTCGGAAATGGAGAGTAAAACCAGCGAGGACGAGAGTGGAGGAAGGGGCTGGCTGAGAGCAAGGGGCATCAGCTGTGGCGAGAGCAGCTGGGTGCTCCATGGGGTCTGCCTGGTCACTGGTGCCTGGCGCCGGGAGGGGATGGAGACCAGCTCATGGGTCAGCCAGGCTGAGCCGGGGGGACAAGACTGTGAGAGCCCAGGAGGCGTCAGGGTCCTGCAACGGGCACAATATCTGTGCCCTGCAGTGTGTGCAGTCACTGTGTCCCACACTGGGTGCAAAGGGCCCTGCGTCTCCCCAGCTCCGTCAGGGCCACCCTTGGCCAGGGGTCTCCAGCCCTCTCTGACCTCCAGCCCCTCTTCTGCCCCTGACCTGCAGCCTTTCCCCAGGGCTGGGGTTGCAGCCTGAGCCCCTCACATCCTTGGGAACCCCAATGAGCCACCGAGGTTGGGAAAGAGGTGTTGGGAGCCCACAGAGCCCCGGGCCTGGGTGCACGGGGCTGCCCCATCACAGGTGGGGGAGCTGGGCTGCACCGAGCACCCTGTAGTGTGCACCAAGCACTGAACACCATGCACCGAGCACCCTCCTTGGCTGCAGGGTTGTGATGGGGGTGAAGGGCAGCATGGCTGTGGGGGTGCACCAGCCCAGCCCCTCTCCATCTCGCAGGATGGTGCTGGGATGGGGACCCGGAGGAGCGGTTCCTGGCCAGAAGGGGGGGGCAAGAGCATCCCCATCCCTTGTGTGCCCCGCCGGCCCCCAGCGCTGCTCCACTGCCTCCACCCGCAGACACAACAGTCTCCCCAGCAGGCGCTCAGTGCTGCCAAAGCCTGATAAGGTGCCGCAGCCTGAGCAGGGCCGGGCACCTGTTTGGGTTTGGTCCCCGTTTGGACACTGTGTCAAGGCTGGCGCCTCTGCCCCGAGTCATGGCCACCACCGTGCAGCAGTGCCAGGCAGGGCAGGGGCTCCAGAGCTGTGCCAGGTGCCGATGCCTTGCAGGGCCCCCACACCAGCTGGGAGGGGAGAAGGGGGGCTGGGGAGCAGTGGGGGACATGGACCCTGCCTGCCCACCTCTAGGTCCCACCTGCGTGCCCATGTCCTGCCTGCACACTTGGTGCTGAGCGGCTCACCTGCACCGGAGAGAGAAGATGGTCCTGGGAGCCCCCACGGCCAGTGCCGCCAGTGCCACCAGTGCTGGCACACAAGCCTCAAAATGCTGGTTTGAGCCCTAGATGTACTCACCCATGAGATGAGTTTGGGGTTCTCAGCCCAGGCCCTGCATTACAGTCTGGCTCTGCTTCTCTCGTCCTACCCGCTACACCGAGCCCCACTCCAGGGCCCTGCAGCGAGGCCCAATGTTTAATGACTGTTAACTGCCATGTACACGGTGCAGAGCGCAGTCACAAACTCCAGTGGCTCCCGCTGCTCAGCCAGGTCCTCGGTGGGTTCAGCGCAGACCCTGCGGGATGTGGCTGTTCCCTGCATGTTGTCCTCGCCCTGCAGTGCCGCAATGGGCCGGGCTGGCTCCTCGTGTCCCGCAGGGTGAAGGTCACCTTCCTGACAGGCTGCACCGTCTCCCCGTTGGTGCTGGCAGCGGGGGATGGTTGTGGTCATCTCATCAGTCTTTGTGGAGCCTGGGGTGGCGGATTTGCTGGCCTTGACCAGGGCCAGTGTGGTGACGCGGCCAGCACCCAGACGCTGCTGTGGCGGTGTGTCCCTGGGCACGCGGGACGACGCTCCCTGCAGCGCGCAGCCGCTCCTCGTTCCACGGCACGAGTTCAGCGAGTCTCTGCCTTACCCCTGGCCGCAGCGCGTCCTGTCCCCGGGACAGGGAGAGGGGCTCTCTGCCCCCTTGCCACCCCCTGCAGCGAGCCGGGCGCGTGGGGGACAGCCCGTGCGAGGCCTGCCCGGGCGCCGTGGCATCTCCCACCGGGCAGGGTCTGCGAGGCCGTGCTTGTGCCGGCGCTCACCCACCCCGGGCCGTGCCCGCGACCCCCCTGCCACATCCAGGCGGGTCCCGAGCCCGGCGCTGGCTGAGATGCCCCTGGGGCCAGCTCACGGGTCACCGGTCCCCTGGGGTGATGCTCGGGGACCGGTCCCCTCGGGCACAGGGACTGGTCCCCGCCGTCTCCCGGGCCTCCGTCTTCCCGCGGTGCTGCCCGGCCGTCCCTGCCCGGGCGCTGCGGGGACTGGCGGGGCCGGAGCGGCGGGGAGGGATGCTCGGGGCTTCCCACCCTCCTTGCCGCCCGCTTTTCCTCGGTAGCCGCTAGGTGCCGGCAGCCTTCAGCTTATCCCGGGGCTGTGCGGGGCTCGGGGGGGGGGTGCGGAGCCGTCCCGGGGCGTCGCTGGCAGACTGGGGCTGAGCTGCCCGGGATGCGGTGCTGCCGGCAGCGCTTTTGCTACC